TACTTTCTGCTGTTTCAGCTACCTGAGGAATGCTGCAGTCCAAAAATATGACATGGAACATTCCAGAAATAAACAGTTTATAAGTTTTAAATCATGTGCCATTCTGAGTAATGTGATAAAACCTCACTCCTCCTTACTCCAAATGCTGGGACGTGAGTCATCCCTTTGTCCAGCATATCCAGCATCCAGCTGTACATATTACCTGCTTGTTAGTCATTTAGTAGCCTTCTTGGTTATCAGAGCAGAAACACACACACACACACACACACACATGCACACACACACACAGTGTGTAATATATAGATATATAGTGTGTGTATAAATGTTTTTATTCTTGAAATGTGTGTATACACACACACACACACACACACACACACACACACAAGGTTTGTAACTATCTATGGTTTCAGGCATTCACTGGGGTCTTTCAATGTATCCCCCAAGGATAAGATGGAACTACTATATTCAAACATGAAAAAGTATTCCACTTGAAAGCATGAAATCCTGAAGTTATTTTTCCAAAGACCTCATTAGTCACATTTAGAAATAGAAAGGTGGCTCATGTCCGTAATCCCAGCACTTTGGGGGGCTGAGGATGGAGGATCCCTTGAGCCCAGGAATTCAAGATCATCCTGGGCAACATGGCAAGACTCTGTTTCAAAAATAAGTTAATTAATTTAAAAAAAAGGAAACAAAGATAAGAAAATTATACAAAAGTTTCTAATGGTGAATGTGTTTATAAAGATTTTCTGTTTTACATTAATAAACATTATTTTAACTCAGTTTTCCTCCCTTAATAAACAGAGGCATAAATTCAGAGAACATTTAATGTTGTTAGCTTTTGACTCCTTTCATCACACTTCACCACTTAAATGTGAAAAATGCATTTCTTAGTTTTTGTCATTTATATAGAGCTTCTCTTATATTGTGAAATTCTGTCCTTATGATGTTATGTAAAATGGAAATCATTTTTATTTTGACAAATCTATATACTATTTGAAAAATTTTCAGCTCCCTAAACTGGGTAGTCTTCCTAGAAATTCAGGATTACTTTAGTTGCTGGGTAAGAGATGCCTCTCCATGTCCTCTACTCTCTATCCTCTTAGCCCACTAAATGGGCTTAGAATTACATCATTTTGTAAATCTGGGACATGATAACCCAGATGCAAGGATAGTGGCTTACATTCACCTTTATAGGCTTGCTCCCAAGTGTCCTACAGGATGAATTCTAGGTGTCTTGTGGAGTTTCCAGATCAAAAACAGCTCATGCAGTGAGTGTTTTGACCTACTCACCTGAGTTTAGCTTCTGCCTAGGTTTCCACATGAATATATCTTGCTATCTTGTCAGTGGGTAGAATTTCCATAGCAAAAAGACAATTTACCAAGTATAGTCACCACTATCAGATATCTGAAGAATAATTCTGTCTAAGGTCTTGTCTACTGTGCCTTGTCTACCTGGAAGTTTGCCCAATTAAGAGTTCTTTACATTAAGATTGAGTTTTCCTGTGCTCTCTCTACCTAGAACTGCAGCTGAGTCAATCTGCACACCTCCTATCTCATACTTTCTCATCAGTCCTTATCTTCAACTAAGTGCCAGTTTTGCCTTGATGTCAATTAACTGGTCCTGTTGCTCTAAGGTACTAATAATGCCACTTTCATATTATAGAAGTCATCACAAAAGGATAATTTATCTCTTAGTAATATGAAAGAAATCCAGAATGCTAATACCATATGCATAATATTTTCTTAAATTTTTTTTTTTTGTTCCATTAGGCTAAAACAAGTGGGGGAAATGGTCTTCATATATTTTTTCATGATTGGCTAATTCATGATAGAATATAAAGTAAATCAAAGAAACATAAAATAGCTAGGAAAGAACAAAAGAGATACAATTTAAAAATGTTTAATGACACTTCATCTACAAACATTGTTTCACAAATGTATTAAAGTTAATTCACTTTCTAAATTGTCTTAGATTAGTAATGGGGTTGGGGAAAAAAAAATCTCCCTTTCCTTCCCTGGGCTCTAATTTTCCTTTTTAGGTACGACTACTGAGGAATTTCTAATTTGGCTCATCACTTCAGTGGGAATTCAGTGCACATAAGGGGCACATATGTAATTGGCAACCTAATTTTTCTGCTTTCATCAAATGGTGCAATGCCAAATCTTCATTGAACTTGCCAGTTAAATGCACTTGGGAACCAAACAGCAGCAAGCATGCATGAGATGAAAATGAACAAATTGGAAAGAGTCATTAACTTTCTGTTTTCCTATCACAACAAAAATTGTATCATTGAAAGTGTTGGAAAGTGGGGAATTCTACTTGAAACATTAAACAATCTTAAAAGAGAATAATTTATTTACTTCTAAAATGCGGTTGATTATAATTTATAAATGGGGTTTCTAGTGCAGATTTTTTTCAAGAAAAATACAAAATCATTAAAATGAATCAACTTTTTAGAAGTATGTCTTAAGTTATATGTTTCATATGTCTTTCTGGTCTAGTGCATATGAATTCTAGCCTTTATTTGGAAAGAAAAATTGTTGGAAAATTAAGCAAGAAATGTTGGCTTCATGTAATACCTTAATGAATAAAGGCAATTGACAGATTTTCATGGTTCTCACTAATTATGAATGCAACTGAGAGTGTAAAAATTACAATCAGTTGTGGTTACCAAAAATGCCCTTGAAATACCTGGTCTAATACATAACTTTTAAGTATGCAATAAAGAGTCATAATCAAATCATTGTTATTAATGTCAATTAAATGAGCCAGGACACTGAAAATACCACAAACTTTCTGAATATGATTGAGTATCATCCTTTTAGGAGGACAGAATCTTTTAAAATATCTGTTTACAGCTCTCAAACCACCTATTTATTCACTAGATGCAAACGTTCAGTATTATCTCCTCTACAAAATTTCCTTTTACAGTGACAGCAGGTTTCTTTCAGAAAGGACTGTGTAGGAAAGTTTTCTTTTTCCATGTATGAGGTCAAGTATGTTAAGACTTTTTAAATCCTTGACCAGCTCTAAAAATGAACATTTCATAAACCACCCTTGCATTGTAATAAGAAGGAGGGAGGTAGAAGAAAAATGCCAAAGGATTGTAGGTCAGCTTATTTCATAAGCAAAAGCTCTAAGGAAACTCTTGAAATTTTTAGCTAAGCCAGGCATTCTGAATGGGAGGCGATATGGACAGTAGAATAGACAGGTTGAGTTCCAGCTGCATTACTTAGCTCGTTGTATGATCTTAGGTTATCCACTCACCCTTTCAAAACTTAACTTTCCTGGTGTGTAAAATTGAGGAAATAATAATAGCTGTCTCACAGGGCCCACTATCAATCCCAATATGCTTTGTTAGTCCATTCATTTTTTTCAATGCTTAATTAAAGAAGCTTTAATGGCTTATATTTTTATGTTATTGCTATATTCACACACCTGTCCTAACTTTGCTGTCCTTTCTTTCCAATATCACTTTGTTTTCATCACACTCCCTAATATCTCTTCTTTGTTCGCTCTTGATCACATGCTTAAATCATTATTAATGGTGGCTAATTGAAGAATTAGGAGAGAGGAACATCAATGTGAAAGGGTAAAATATACGGAGAATATATAAGGTGCATATGACAAAACCCTGAAGATGTATAATGGTCATAAGCCATGAAAGAAGATATGACAGCTAAATTGTCAAACTTGTTGCCTCTTCCGTAGCCTCCTAAATCTTATCTTCCTTTTTTCACATTTATGAAAAATGTTTCCTACATTTGTCTCCCAAAAGCAGAGTTGTCCCCATGCTATAATATACATTGACCACTCAGATTCATTTAAAAAGTACGTCTCCCTTTTATCCCCAATATAACCACATTTCAGAAGTTAGATTATAGCCAGCTAGATTATATAGAGCACACACACACACACGAGAAAAATGTGTAGATCACTTGACTTCCTTGTTTCTCAATACCTCAGTGCACCTGATCACACCTTGTAATCTGGGCAGAAGGTAAGGGAGGTGATGTCAGGTGTACAAATTTAATATTGGATCTATTTTTTACATAGAAATGGTCCTACATTCTACCAGAATGAGTTAAAAAAAAAAAGATACTCACACATACACGGAATTAAATACATGTGCTGTATTGCCTTCTAAAGGCGTAAATACACAGGAGTGGAGAAAAAGAAGGGGATGAATGGGAAAGAGTTCAGAACTCAGTGTTAACCTGAAAGGAAATGAGGCAGTGCAAGGAGAGAGAGGATCAAGGGAAAATAAATTATGTAGGCAACAGATGCATGCATCAGAAGTCTTTCGATCCCTAAACTGGCAAATTTTCTCCAGGGGACCATCAGTCAAAAGATGTCAAATTGATAGCTGGTTTTGCTTGTAATGCCTGTATTGTGTAGGACCTTCTGTGTAGGAACACAAGTTCCACTCTTGGACACAGTCGCAGTGCTTCCATTATCCTACAGAATTGATTGCTGCAAATGGTTCCTGGGAGGTGTGACCTGCTTAAAGGAAAGAACCAGGTTTCTTTTCTTCTTACTGAGGAAGGAAGACACTTGTCAGGATGTGAATTGGGTGAGTGAGAAGGAAAAGCGGAGAAAAAATCTGGTAATTCCTTCCCTTAGAGGAAGAAAAGAAAGAAGGTAACATTGGAACCTTGGAGAGGAGAAATACAGTGCATTTATTTCCAGCATCCCCGCAGTCACTTCGCTTCTCTTCAGACTCCCCCCCTATTCTCTAGTCTTGACCTGCCAATGCACTTGGATTCCACGTAAGCACCGGGATAGGCTGGGGGAAAAGGCCAGGTCAGCGCGGTGGGATACTGCGTTCCCTAAAATGAAAACTCAGCAGCGGGCCAGCAGTCGGTGTGCGCGCGTCGATGCGAGAGGATGCGTGCGTGGAAGCCGGCGGACGCAGTGGGCCGGGCGCCGCCCTCCCAGCCGCCCCGCCCAGCCCACCCCGCTCCGCGTTCTATAAAGGCCGCGCTGCGGCCCGCCCTCCTCACAGCCCCGGAGCGCGGCCTGCCGGGGAGGTGGTTCCAGTGCTCCCCACACAGTCACACTCCGCGCACTCACACACTTGGAAGCGCCTCCCCACGTCCCTCCCCTGCCCTTCTCTTGCTCTGCTCTCTTCTCCCTCACCACAAATAGTCGCCGACCTACTGCCAATCCGCCTCTCTCTCTCTCTCTCTCTCTCAACATGACTGACTGGAAAGCGGTGGCTCGGGCAGAGCAGCTCTGCTGGCGCAGGCAGGAGGAGCAGGAGGATTATTAAATAACGCAGCTCGACTCGGTGCAACTGAGAGTGGAGAGAAGGAGCCCAACGGCCGAGAAAGGGAGGGAGGGCAGAGGAGGGGGACCAGGAAGGACAACCCGGTGCCCCGAAGACATAAATCCCTGAGTGTCCGGGAGGAGCCTTAACAAGCGGCACGGAGCCCTCAAGGTAGTAACGCCCCTGGTGCCTCCGCGCCCAGCGGGTCGCGCGTCGCGTCGCCGCTGTGCGGGGCTGGCCGCAGGCGGACGCGGGGGATGACCGCCCGGCAGGTGACTGCGCCGTGCCGGGGCCGCCCCGGAGCAACGCGCGCCCAGGCCCGGAGTGCCGGCCGCGGGCCCGGCGTGCTCGGCGCAGAGACCTGGCCTTGCGGGCAGGGTGGGAAGGAGGCGGGCGGGCTCACTCGCTACCGGCCCGCGACTCCCGGTGCGCTGCGTGGCCATTTCCTCCGCGCTTCTGCGTGGTTTGCTGCCTGCGGCCGCTCCAGGGCGATGCGGAGCGGTGGCCAAGGAGGCGAGAGTTGGCGCAGGCTTCTGGTCGCTCCCCTCCCTCGCCACTCACGTCCCGCAGGTAGGGGCGGCTGGCCAGTGCTGGCGCCCGGGCTGCGGGTGCTCAGGCGGGGACGGCGGCAAAGAGGGGGAAGGGAAGGAGGGGGCGGGGAGCCCGGGTCTCCCGGAGGAACCGCAGTGCCGGGCCGGGTCTGCCTCTTGCCTCCGCCTGCTAGTCCTCTGGCGCTGGTTTCCTGGATTGGAAGCAAGACCCTGCCCAGAGGCAGCAGTAACAGCAGCGACTTAGAGTGAACCAATTGCTTTGTGGTGGCGTGTCAAGAGCCCCGGTGTGTGTGTGTGTGTGTGTGTGTGTGTTTTCACGCTCCGGACTAACCAGTGGGTTGGTTCACCTGCGTAGAAAGTCAGCCCTGAGCTGAAACCGCATGTGGCCCTCTGGCTGGCCCCTTTGACTTTTGGCTTGTGTCCCAGAGACTCGTACACACGGTGCCAGCAAGGGGTAAGGGTGACGGAGGGATTTGTGAATGGTGCTTCTCCGCGCGTGGAGTCTGAGCCTTGCTGATGTAAAGGAGGAGGTATCCAGAGTGAGAAGAAAGGCTATTTATGGCAAAGAGTTGTGAAATTTCTTGGGGTTTCCTTTAGTGTATCCTGAGCTGCTCCCTTTCTCTCTCTCTCCTCTCTCTGTTTCAGAATTAGAAGCAATTATGCTTTCCCCTCCTCTCGTGGGACCTGGAATATGAAATGAAGTAAAACAAAAAACAAAAAACTTATATTTTTACAGGTAGAAAAAAATACTTCTTAGAAGTTACAGATTCTTTGCCCTTTAATGTTTTTATGTCCTCTACTCCACTCCTCTTACCTTTTCAGGCAGTCAGTAGGACTTATAAGTCAGAAAATACCTACTTGGTTTCAACAGTTTTCATTTCTGAAATCTTTACAGTTGAATACCTTCCTATTGAAATGTAACACACATCCTCCATTCTCTGTCCCCCAAAGGCTATTAAAAATATGTACACGTTTAACGTAAAGGTGTTTTTATTAAAAGCCTCAGGGAGAACGGAGGCATGGACACCTAGGTGGGGGTCAGTGGTTCCTTCAAAACTGGTTGTTAAGGGAAGACTTAAAATACTTTGAGTCTAGGCTATAACATAATTTGTTTTGGTTTCTGTTTCTGTTTACTTTATAACAGGTACATGTTCCAGATATGTAACTTGAAATTTAGAGATGACTTGGGGCAGTGCCTGTCACTGTGCTTATAAAATGAATGTTTTCTCTTAAAAGTAGCAACCTGTACTTTTATAGGACCATGACTGGGTTTGATAGGACAGTGTCCTTAATATTTCAAACAGGTAACTGTAAGAGCGTGCCAGCACAACGTTTTTTAAACATTGAAATTCCATGTTGTAACCACACTTTCAATAGTTTCACCAAAGAAAGAGAAGTAAATTGGTCAACCTATTGTTAGAGTGATTTGTCTTCATTTAAATTAACTTTATCATTTTGGTCAAACAAACCAACTGTTGTTTGTATTGTTTTTTCATCGTGAACATAGCTTTTCTTAAGAACTGGTTCATTTGAAAAACAAAGCAGTTAAGGATTTGATATTTATATTTTGTTAGATTTATATTGATTTGAAATACATTTTCAACACTGAAGCATGTGCGCAACTTTAAATATTAGGTTAGAACTCAGATGGGGAACCACACTCTGAGGGTTATTACCTCAACTAGCCCAAACTATGGGAACATAAATATAATAGGGAACTTAAAAATGTAATTGATGAACTGTATTACTGCAATCATTAAAAGTCCGATTTATGAGTATTTTGTTTTTTGACAGTCAAGAGAATCAGCAACTGTTCATTATTTTAAAGATACATTATTTATACCATCGAATGTTAATTTAGATAAAACTAAAAGTAGAAAATGAAGAATTTATTATATTTTTACCATAATAGTTATTCAGCCCTTTATTGCATTTTATTATTCATCATAATGCTCATAATAAAGGGCCTACTGTGTGCAAGGTACTAATGTCTAGGCATTGGAAAGGAATGGGAGATTCCTTGTTCCCTGTCCTTCGGAACTTACTTGCCATGTGGGAGGAATATGATGCTCATGCTTGAGCATAGAGTTAATAACCCATAACAATAAGAGATTACATGTCTAATGAGTACTACAGGAGTTCAGAGCATGACAATAACATTTCATACTGGATTTTGTTTGAGAATGCTTCGGGGGTAGGTAAGACTTGCTTGGTCTTGATCTTAAAGGATAAGTACGATTAGTACGTTGTGGATAAGAAAAATAAAAGGCATAAGATGCAAGTGTCCTGGAATAATAGTAAAGAATACATAAGGGAAGATAAGTTTGTTTTTACATAAATTAAGATATTGCTGGATACTTTGCAGAGTGCAGGTAGGGTCTGTTTTGGATGTACATCCTTCTGCACATTCATTTTTTTTTTTTTTTTTTTTTGAGAGGGTTTTTTGCTCTGTCACCCAGGCTGGAGTGCAGTGGCACAGTCTCAGCTTACTGCAATCTCTGCCTCCTGGGTTCAAGTGATTCTCCTGCCACAGCTTCCCGAGTAGCTGAGACTACAGGCGCATGCCCCCTCGCCCAGCTAATTTTTGTATTTTTAGTAGAAGCAGGGTTTTGCCATGTTGGCCAGACTGGTCTCAAACTCCTTACCTCAGGTGATCCACCTACCTTGACATCCCAAGTGCTGGGATTATAGTCGTGAGCTACTGCACTCGGCCTATATTGCCTTTTAACAGGCAATATGTACTTGTATTACTGCAATAGTACAATAGAGTTCTCGTACAGAATATGTGCTTTAAAAATGTAAATATATCCTCATCTCACTAATGTGTTGAGTAAAAGTGGTGCACATGCAACCTCTTTGTAGTGAGGCATTTTTGGTGTTTCCTTAAGCAAATCTTTTTAGGTTTGCTGTAAAGAAGTGTGATGATGTGTAAAATAATAAAAGTATTAATAGTGAGCATTCATTTAATACTTAACATTTTTTTCTTCATATAAAATGTGTAGTCAAATAATATATTTTCTGTAATGTTTTATTTTAAAGTTTTTAGATTTATTGAACCCATTAGATTAGATTTTATTTAAAGTTATTGTATGCATCCACATAATAGTTAATCTATCCCTACATTATTTGTCATGAATATAGAGCTATGATACAGTGCTTGTGGCAAACGTTTTAGAATTTTAGCAACAATTTTATGGCTATTTTAAGTATCTTCTGATAAATAAATTGTATTAACAATAATAACAATTCTCTATTCTAAACTTAGTTGATTTTTCTTTGTGTATATATGTTTATTTTAGACAAACTGTGTCTTTGTGCATATATGTGTATTTTAGAACAACTGTTTAAAATACATTTCTTTATTTCAAGAATAAAGGGGAAACATCTGATTTGACTTTGGGTCTGTCTATTCAGTATGACACCCCAGAAGTATGTTGTGGTGACAGTAAAAAAATTGTACAAATATTAGACATGGCTTTCAAGAAATAACCAAATGGAATTACTTTCAGATTAGTTGAATTAAAATATTTTCATATATATATTTTGTTGACAGTGAATAGATAAGTGTTATTACAAAAGTGAAAGGCTATTAAATCACCAGTTTTACATTCTTGCAAGAATGGAATGATTCCCCATGTAGTTAGGGTACAAACCAGCCTATCTCTTAATTGGTACCTTTTGAGTTTGGTTTTGGACTATATGTCACAGGTGTATCATTTTGATAATGTAATCTCATCCACTGTATGACTGACAGCTTCTGCATGATTTCCCTATTGGATAGTGACAAAATCTGTTTGCTTTATAGTGAGTACATACGCTTCTATCAGCAATATTATCTTCCCTGTGCAAGAGTGTCAGTTAACAATAAAACATGAAGTCTGGGGTGGAAGAAGCAGTGAAAAAAGATGGGGAGATTGAGGAGAAAACACCATAACAAAAGGAACATGTTTTACTATGAAGCTTAAACTGAATATTAAAATGTAAAGCTGACCATTCTAAACTGCAATACATTACCAAGATGTTGTTATCAGTCTGCTTGTGAACAACCATATTGCATTTTAAGTTGTTCCCATGCAGGCTAAATTTTTTACAAAGTGTTTGTTGGAAATGTTTACTGAGGTTTTCAGCATATTAAAAATTGTTAAAATATTTTTGCTTAGATCATTAATGAAGTTATTTGCCAAATTCCTGGCCCTATACCTAGGTTAGCTTAAAACATGGCTTTTGGTTTTGCATCATTTACACTGCATTAACTTTTCTAAAATATTAAACTTGATTAAAATTTTTGAATTTTTAAATTGTGCTTTGATACTAAATACAGTCCAAAGGACTTTTATAAAGAAACACTTTATTATCTAATGACAATTCTTAACCTAGAGTAGTGGTTTTCAAAATGTGGTCCCCTAAGCAGCAGCAGCAACTATAAAAACTTGTTAAAATGCCATATCTGGATCCCCATGACAGACTGATTGATTCAGAAGGGGTGGGGTTCTCTATGTGATTCTTATGTACTCTGGAGTTTGAGAGCCACTGACCTAGAGTATTTCAGAGTGAAATTTGAAGGCTATGTCTTTTGTCTGTTTTATAAATAAGTACTTTTCTCAGCTGGTAGAAAACTAA